CTGGACTGAATTTACATGGTCTCTTGGAGTTCCTTGGGCTAGGCCTGACACCTCCAATATAAGTCATATTGGAGAGCTCCGCAAAAAACAAATGAACAAACAAACATGTTATTCAATTATATTATGCTTCTAGAGATAAAGCTTTTATATTAATTGGGTAAGCTGATATGATGGCCTAGAGAAATGCAGTTCCTCAGGGAATTACCAGTGGCCTACTTCTGGGAGAGGAGTTATTTGGCTGGATTTAAAAACTCACATGAGGGATCGCTAGGAACTGGGAAACAGTTCCCAGGATGCAGGACAAGGAACAAAGCGGATGGTGGTGAAAGAAGCATCATTCTGAGCAAAAGAACCAAAGGAAGGCAGTGAATTGGGCCGGAGAAGAAGTCTTCAGGGGAAAAGGAACTGAGGCAAAAAGACAATGAATGGTGAGAGAATTCTAAAGGAAGGATATTGATTGATAGAAGGAAACCAAAGAGTGGTTAGGAGGCTTATCAATAAGAGAAAGGTAAAGAAAGATGGAAAAAGTCAGCGAGATTTTGAAAAGCAGGCACATTAATGAACACTCTGAGCTAACATGCCAAAAGCGATGAGGTAAACATAGATTTATGTTTTGGGCACCAGAGATGATCATTCCTGAATCGATTGGATATTGCACTGGATATTCTTTACCTTGCTAACATCACAACTAGACTAATGCAATATGCCTGAAGAATATCTGGAAACTTTTTGGGTGTAAAATACTCCTATTAATGTGCTTTGATGCATTGCTACATTGAGAGCATCCAACACCAATACTGAAAATAGCCTCCAGGATTCAATTGAAAGTAGTGTCTTCAATTTCAAACACTTAATGGGTGTGATCTTGTTGTGTGCAGAGACCTCTTTCTTTATTCTCAACATTGGGATCCATAGGAGAGACCTTTCTTTGTATACTCTTATTGAGGAGAACTACTTGCCTGGCACTTGAGAAATAATCTTTCCTTGGGTCATTTTATTTTATTTTATTTATTATTGAATTTATACTTAACCTTTCTGTTTACACAAACACTCAAAGTAGCTTACTATATAACAATTTAAAAAAATACAGAAGGTAAAGCACAGTGGAACACACTCACTTGGTTTTGAGCTGTGAATGTCTCTGTTCTCTCTGCGTTCAAAAAGCACATCAAATGAACTGTTTTCAATTTGGCCTTTGGAATTCTTTATATTTTATTAGAGGTTTTTTCCCATTTGAAAATTCTGTTTTTAATTGCATTTAAATGTTGTTGTTTTTTTTATGTTGGGCAACTGGGGTATCATTTTTCTTTAACAGAAAGGAGCAAGAGGAGCAGAAGCAGCAGAGATGGAAGGTACGTGGAACTAGGAAGGGAAGAGCCAGGAAGAAAGTAGATAACTGGCGAAAATGATACATAGAATCTATGGGTCACTAGGGTCACCACAAATTACTAAAGCTGAGGATGATGGGCATAGTATAGTGCAAGGGGTTTCAAACTTTTTCAGACCACAGAACCCGTTCATTAAAATCACTGTCGTCGTCATCATCATCATCATCATCATCATCATCCCAGAATCCCTGTTCAAGAGGCAAAACTCTAGTGATAAAAAATTGGCTGCATTTGAGTGAACTTTTCTGATTGTTTGTTTTTTGCCAAGAATCTCTAACAGAACCCCCTCAATTTGAAAAACCCCAATCGGTTTGAAAAACTCTGGTACCGTAGAAAGAATATAACACTGCAAACATCAGAGGTTTTAGTAACTGTATTATAAGTAGGATGAATAAATGCATCATACTTTGTGCATCAAAGTGAACAACACTTGATGAAATAACATAATTGAAAAGAAGAATTATGGCTTTACAATAGGATATGAGTAAGAATAAACCAAGATTTAAAGAATAACGAATAGATTTAAAAGAATAAATAGATTTAAAAGGAATGTATATAGAAAAAGATAGCTAAAAGTCCTCACCCCTCCAATTCGATACATTTAGAAAAAGTGTTCTCTATATCAAAAGAATAGGAAAATGTTATCTAGTGATACTCTTGCCAAATAAAAAAGCTACTATCTGAATTGGTTTTAAAATTGTTCTGTTGCAGGTTGTTATACTTGTGATTCTGGATATATGTAGATTTTCTGATAATGGGGAGTTGGTGTGAATAATCTTAGGGCTACTGGATCCATGTCTATTACAGGTTATATCTTCATTAATGGTATGATTACTAGCAGTCTTATTTAGAATATGTTCCTGCTCCCTGCCCCCTAAAGATATCATAATGATTTGCAGAGGATTCTGGCCATAGAAGTAACCATCTGTCACTTCCCTCTACCTAAAAGCTTCTTCATGATGAGAAGGTTTTCTTCCAAAACCACATCAAACACATTTACTGAGGGTCTGTCCATGCCCCATGTGCTATTAGGTTCCCAGTTGCCACACACGTAACTGAAGAAGTCTTCACAAGGATCAATGGTGCCATTCTGGGCCTTCTGCAATCTGGCCAGGAGCACAAGGCACGACGAAGTATTGCAGCTTTCTGGAAAAACATAGGAACAGGGGAGGAGGAATTGTATTATCTTGCCTTTATTGAAAAGCATAGGTTGTCTTATAATATAAGCACAGGAAAGCCCATGGCATATACGCAGCTGTTTCTACAACTTTCTACATCAGGAATAATAAGATTCCTTAGAGCAAACAAGAGTGTATAATGAACCATGTTTAGAATTTATGCCTTGAAGGCAGAACAGAGGAGATTCCTTTGGGTCTAGAATCATAGATAAGTGTCGGGGGGGGGGATGAGAGAGGGGGCACTTGGTTAATGGGTGTTTTCTATATAGTTCTTCCTTTGAATTTTTTTGTTCTTTTAAAGTAAGTTTCACATTGCTCAGAAAAACCTATGTAACAGATTTCCTTGGAATGCACTTCCCATAATTCCTTGCAAGTGACGTGACATAAATTGGGCTAGATCCCATACATAATAGATACACAGTATCATTAATGGTAATATACATGACTAAGCACAATCTACAATAGAAGTAATTTATTATCATCCATCCACTCCCTCCTCAAGTTCTTTCTTCCATTTTTTGGGGCATATCAGAGAAATGGTAACTTCTAAAAAGTGATAATTGAATGTCTAGAATTACAACAAGGAGGAATATTTACACTGAAAATATAGGGAAAGATTTCATGAATATTTTAAGGTATGATGATACCATGTTTTAGTATGACAATGCATTGTACAATAGCCAGCTATATTTTTAAACCTTAACATCTTTTCATGCCCATTGCAGGGAATCTGGGAGTAGGAAGTGGGCCCTTGCAGGGTGAAGTTCTTGTGACTAAACCTACTGAACCTCACCGTCAATCTGTGTGAATTAAGGATACATCACCAATGCTCTCTTGCAGATGCTTACAGTATTACATGGAAAAGTTATTAATAGTGGACTAAGTGCTTTCTAGGAACGTGTTTGGATATTTCTGCTATCTTTACTTCACTATGATAAATGAGGGAATCTTGGGATTCTCAAGATGCAGTTTAAAAATTAAGATGCAAGAGTCTTCTAGCAGTTTTCTAAAGAGAGAGGGGAAGAAATGGATGTGATCTCCGTATCACAATATTCATACTATGCAACATTTGCAAAAATAGGTGCAACTTCTCTCACAATTCTGTGATGATCCACAGTTTAGTTGGTAAAGATCTTTATCCATACAAAGCACTATTCTTTCATTCTGGTAAGTAAATATTAAAACTCCATTATAGCATGTCTAAAACTTTGATTCCCTCCTTTTCCTTCTCATACTGTCCGGCTGCTCTGAATACTAACCTGAAGGAGAGCTTCTTTCAGTTTTTTGCTAGCATCTCAGCCAAATACGCTCTGTCAGATACACACACTACTAGGAGCAACTGATCCCCTATCAAAAGCAGATCACTCCTAGAATCCCAACAAGCCTATGACCAAATCCTGCATAGGACTGCAACTTCCATAATCTTCAGTCATCATAACTACCCTAAAGCTTTCTGAAGCACTTCAGATTTAATTAGACATTTTTGGGGTTCCCTCAGTCTGAGAAAGTGTCTCTTTCACTCATTTTCTATGCTTAATGTGGGCAGAACCAGTGCTAAGGGCAGACCAATCCAATCAGCAAACAGGTAGGAAGTCAGAAAAAAGGAAAGCTCTAATACCTAGATTGCATGTAATGATGGAGAAGACAATGGCTAGCACAAGACCAATGACAGCAGTGAAGAGCAGAGCACAAAGGAAGAGGGATTTTCCCTGATGACATCTTTGCACAGTCCCTCCTGGGCCTTCATCAGTCTGGAATCAGAGAAAAACAGCAATAAGTTAATTCCTTGTGTAGACAGGACTAGTCCTTATCCAGGAAGCAAAATCAGAAGAAGTTTGAAAATCAGGTGAAAATCAGGTAACAAGTCTCAAAATACAGATGGTGAACTAGTGAATTAATGGAGGATGCTAAGAGTGGTAGTTCAACAATATTTTGATGGTCATGAATTCTCGACACTTGATCTAAAATATAGGAAGTGCAGTTACACAACAATTCCTCACTGAATACTATTTTCTATTCTAAAAAAATCAATGAACTGTTTAAAGCCATACATGTTGCTGTTGACATTTGAATATGACTAATTTGTAATACAATGCTAAACAAAGATGACTCATATTTCACTGAAGGATACAGCTAGTATTCTCTTTGAATGCTTCACATTTTCTAAGCAGAGTCCCTTCTTTTTTATTTGTGCGAATCTTAAATGATGAACAATACTCAGAACTTAGAATGTCGCTTTTTAAGCAAATGAGGCCTTTCTTTTCATCATTTTTTCAGTGCTTGGGAAGTCACTGCTTGTAGCGATACCATTAAAATAATAACCAGAGCAGTATCCATAGAGAGGGGAGCTTCTAAGTGAAGCAGGACTAATTTACTTTCAGGACAGTTTGACTAAACTGTCACATTCATATTCCTTTTAAAGAGGAGAGAGGTCTCTGTGAGTCCATTTAGTTCACAAAATTCCTCTTTTCTTGTTTTACCCTGGAAAATTGAATTAGAGGTGTGATGATACAGTCAGGTTTTAAAGCAAATGGAGAATATGTAATAGACTCTGCACAGTTCCTAATAAACTTAGAACATTTATGAACAAAAGGGATTTATTCCAAGGTATTCAAAGCTGGGGATATTTACCGCGAAATGAAATGTTTTGTCATAAATAAGAGCATGGGTGGGAATGGAGATGGAAGTGAACAAATCACAGAATGAAACAGTCCAGGTAGGATTTAAAATATTAAGTCATTAGGACTAAAGTGTCAGAACATGGATATAGATAATGGGAGATGCATCTGAGGATTTTTAAATTCCTTCTCCATTCTTTTCTAACACTTTCACATACCCCCCTGCTCTCTAAAACGCTGGATGACAGTGTATCCTGCAAGCTCTTACTTGTGCACGTGATATAGTCAGCAGCTTCAGATAGGGTATTCATGTCTGGCATGTCAAATACTCTAGATAGAACTTGCATAACAACTTTCATAATTAAACTGTCATAAGATCACCTTAAATCAATGTGCACATTCAACTGAGAGACTTCATTCATTGATCATTTCTAGAGAAACAGCCCTGTCAGATCTGTTGCCACAAAAGAGACAACCTACATCTATCAAAGTGGAAATTACAAAAATGTATGTCATAATTAGTTGATCTCTAAGATGCAACACACAGCAAGTATTAACACCTGGACCACCATGTCCAGGCTCAGAACTTAAGCAGAGTCAGACTTGGTTGGTTTTTAAGTAGCTGACCTCCAGGGAATACCAAGGCTGGGAACTCCCAAATCATCATCATCATCATCATCATGGAAGAAGGCAGTGTCAACCCAAACAAATATCACATAGACAGGTCCATGAAGTCAGCAAATATCAGGTTCTCCTTGAAGGCAGTATTATCTTTGATGTATCTAATCGCTTTACAACTATATATTTCTATACACACATATGCACACATTACTTCCATAGTTCTACCAAGAAAACAATATGGATGTGTCCATTAAGTCACTGGGAGCTGAACTTAATTTGAGGGAGATTTTATTTGTCCATGTCTTGATTAACCATGAAAAGAAATTAAACAACAGACATGCATTTGCAAATGACCCCAAGTTTTCTAAAGCTATTACAACCACATAGGGCAGTGTTACTCAACCTCAGCAACTTCAAGATATATGGACTTCCACTCCCAGAATTCCCCAGTCAGCATGCATTCTGGGAGTGGAAGTCCATACATCTTGAAGTTGCTGAGGTTGAGAAACACTGACATAGGGAAAGGAAAAGCAACATGAACAGAATGATGAAAGTGTAACAAAGGCTGTGCTTGCCCAAATTTGCCAACAGCAAAGATATTTCACAGTCATCTCTGTGTATCACTGCCAATATAATTCAGATATTAATAATATCTTAGGGCAGAGATTGCAAAGTCTTACTCTCTTTCTTCCTGACAATTTTCCTATGAAGTGGCAAGGAGCTGAACCTTTTCATAGATAATTGTCTGTTTACCAAACCATCTCCTGAACATTTGTCAGCTTGTGAACCAGCCATCACAATTATTTTTATATAAACCTACAATTTTCTAGCACTGGAATCTGAATCCAGAATATTACATGGTGCTACATATTGTTTCCGCAAATGTCAGTCTGTGTGAGAGAATTGTAGAGAGAGTGACAGCTGAGGAAGGGTGATAATGATTATGCAGAAAGGAGGCCCAAGGCCCACCTAGCACCTTCAGCCACACAACCACTATCATGCCATTCTTGACTCTTGCCATTCCTGCATCCAGGCCTATAAAGCAAGGGTTGCCAGACCCCTGAAATAAAATATTTGGGGCAAGGGTTTGGAAGAAGAGCTTTCTTTCTAGTGTTCTTTGTGTAACCTAGGTTAAATCAGCAGATGAAGGCAGCATACAGTAGTTCTTAGCTCATATACGTATGATAGTCTTCTCCAATCTAGTGATCTCCATAAGAGTTGAAGCTGAAACATCTAGTATTCCCAACTGTTGGGATTCATGGACTGAGAAGTTTAGGGAACATTATTCTAAGAAAAAACTGTTTTATCATACTCAGTTCTAAAACACTGACAAAGGGAGAAAGGAGCAGTCTTACATTTTCTTATCTTTTTTGGCTGGGCCAAAAAAAAAAAAAACTTGGTTAACCTCATTAAAAAACCCATGGCAGAATTAACATATTTTATATTAATCTTGTAGGTCTAAACAATCTATAATAATGATCAAATCTAATTTCCAAGTCAAAATAACTTTATTATATATGTAGCCTTAGGTGTTACCAGTTCATCAAAGCAAATCTGCAGTACAGAAATATTCAACTTTATTGAATAATGTACAATGTTACCAACCTTTAATGTTAAAGAAAAGAATGTCATACATGTATATATCAGCTAGTTTCTCTCATTATGTGAAGTCTGTATCATTAAGTGAAATCTGAACTTTGCAAGCAGCAGGCAATTTCATGTTGTTTTTGGCACTCAATAAAATGACAGGGTTAATTTGTCCCTGATTCAAAATTCCCCATAAAAGTCCACTTTTGATCTGAAGGTTAGGATCCGCCCCATGCCAAAAATTGTGCTTGCTTATATAAATCAACTTGGCAGGAACAGAGTAGGGGGGATGCTGGATTCGATGATGGCAGATCCACTCTCCAACTGGAATGTCCTTTATAATCAGACTACCATTGGTTATATCAAGGATAGCATCTTAGAAATGATGTTAGGAAAGAGTTTGAAAGAGAAATCTTATTTTACCCATTTGCTTACCTCACTATCTTCCATCTCCCATCATTAGAAGTTGGGGGATGGGAAGAATATATTTTGTGCCAAACTTTTTATATGGTAGTCTTAGAAATGAATTTTGTCTAAGGAAAAGATGAATAAGTTAATCTCTTGTACTCTTCACTGTTTCTTACTCCCAACCATTAGTTCTAATCCCTTGTCATGTCTCCTTTTCTTTGCCCAAAAACCCATCAACGTTGATCTGAGATTTGCCATAGATATTTCTCATCATGTGATCCAGTTTCATTCCAAATTTTACTACCATCTCACTTAAAACAATACTGAGGCATATAAAGAACCTCCAGGGATATCTTTAGAAAACATATAAAGACAAGTCAAGTTGGTAAGCACTTGTCCATATAGTCATCAGGAACTAAGCCTGGCTCAGTGGCACCACCCTGTGTGAAATTTGGCAAACATGCTTCTTAATGGTGATCTGGCCTAAATTCAATTTTTCTTCTGTTCTAGTTAAAAAGAAAACAGATTCTAAAGCGTGTCAGTGATAAGTCCCTACAGCAATTTCTATGTCATTTAGTATTTTCTTATGCTCTCATTCCTGCCAATGTCAATCTGTTCTGATTTTGAATATTTAAAAGTTGTTTATGTTTTTCCCACAGTAGGAAGACAGCTATTTTTCCCAGTTCATTTTCAGAACTAGGAACCAGGTAGTATGGGCTGCCTCCTGGACTGACACAGAGCCAAGGATCTTGCTGTAAAGTAGGTGAGAAGCACATGATATGTATTCTATCATCAAAAAAGTTCTCATTGCAAAACACAGTATGCCATTAAAGTAAAATGAGCAATTAACATCATGTGAGAGCTATCTAAGTAACCAAAACAGGAAAACCTCATCAGCTTCTATAATAACTCGGTATTTGTTCTTATATTTCTTAAGGGTAATATCTATCACTTGGAATTAATCTTACTTTAAAGTATGTTTGACATAAACGAATCCAGCACAACATATTCAAGGGGGAGGGGGTCAAATACTTTAAATGAAAATATCTGACAGGCCCAAGATCAGTGCAGCCAAGCCTCAAAAATGACTGGGTTATCATTACATTTCAAAAACAAAAATGTGGAGATAGCACATTTTAAACTTGTTGAAATGTTCTTGTTCAATATTTAGGAAATGACTACACAATCTGCAGTGGACTAACTAAGGAATATTAACATTTAATTCCCTAAAAAAGACATTATTATTGCTCAGTGGAGTGTAGGGAAACGGACATAGTATCCTGCATTTGTTTTCATGAATATATGTACAATTATTGTGGCAGAGAGGAAGCCTTTGTATGAATATCCAATGCTAAATTTCTAAAAATAGGTATGTTGCTGCTATAAACTAAAAGCCTTTGATGTGTAACTTTGTCTCCGTAATTCTGAGTCTGGCTGTAAATGATCCAGGGTCCAAGCCAAAAAAGTGCTGTCTTCTAAACTGATAATTCCTCTATCCTAGAGTTAAGTCTGGCATTGAAAACACGCATACAGACAAAAGTTTGTGTGTGTGTGTGTGTGTGCGTGTGTGCATATCTTTTCATTCTGAATATCAGGAGCTAGCTAGCAATGTACTTTTTAGTCCACAAACTACACATTCTCTTGGAGGAAACAAACATCTAATGCCTGAGAAGATAAGTGCCTAAAATGAGAAGAGCAAAGAGAGAGAAAACTGGGCTCCATCTTACCTGCGGAGATGTCCTCATGATTTCACTTTTGAATTCTTTCTGAAACTTCTCTCCTTGTCCGTGGCCTTCAATCCACCTTCTCCTCAGGGGTTAGCAAGGAATATCATTTCAGAGCAGAGACCAAGCTTTCTCTTCCTATTCTGGCTGGAGGCATGACAGAGGAGGAGATGGAGGAGGAGTGGCAGGGAAGCTGGTCAAAATGACATCTCTGAAGGAAATAGAAGCTGATAACGTTCCCGCCCACTCCTTCTTTGTGTCATGGTTTCCTCCTGGAACGTGCAGTTCAAACACACTTTCTACTCCTTGGGATGGAACACGTATCTTTTTCACCCAGTGACTGCAGAGTAACTTCATTGCCTACAGTGAAGGTTTTGAGACTGCAGCCTCTGCCTGTCCCTCTGATTCTTTCTTCCCCCCACCCCCAGGGATATTATCTCTTCCCCACATGCACATGGAGACCCACCCAATGCTAGGATGTCCGATTGCTCATCCACACTTAACATTCAATCCATAGCTTACCCTCCCTTCCTTCACAATTGTCCTGCTGCTGCCTTCTACCCATCTTGCCACAACTTTGCTTGTCTGCTTTGATCTGAGACCTTTTCTGCACACCGCCTGTTTCAGCCTGCTGTGCTGGGCCCTCGGGCATCTGTTAAGATTAAGATACAAATAATGCAAATTTTGGCTTTCACTGATCCCCCTCCTTTTTCTCCCCAGTTCCTAAAAAAAGTGAGAAATGTATTTCAGTGACTGACATTAGCACAATATTTTCTTTATGTGGACAGAAAGTTCACAAACTTCTTTTCAAATCTACAGTCAACCGAACCTTATGCTTCATTGTAGTGTTAGTCTGGCAAGCTCCTTCTCAGCTGGAAAGCACCCTTGGGGTAGAGGTTTTGTGCTAGAGAAAGTAGATGCTTAATTTTTCTTCTGCCAGTTTTCTCTCCTGCAAGCTCCATTCTGATGGAGCACTGATGATGATACCTAGTTGGGTAATGAAACATCTGCAAGCAAACAACCAGGCTCAGAGAGCACCAAGGACTCCAAAGCTCTATTCTTTAATTGTTGTCCTCTCATTTCTTGATCCATGATTACATACACAAAAAAATTTTAGAGGGGAAGATATTATTCTCTGCTCCTAAATGTCTCTCTCTGGAGGACTTGGCAATGGAGAACATATCATCAGACTACTTTTACATATGGCTTTAATGTAACTTGCAACTTCAGTCTGGTTTGGCCAAATTTTCTGCTCTGGATATCCCAATAACTGTACCCAATAATCCTGCATTTAATTTGGCTAGGAGGAAATGTTAGTGGTTTCCTTTAAAAAAAAAAAAAGTTTTGTTTGTTTGTGAGATTTAGAGGCCACCTGATTCCAGAACAACTCTGGGCAACTTTTTATAAAAGAAAATTCTATGAGTCTGGGCAAACAACACTTCCTACATGCTCCTTATAACCTCAAACACAACTGAGAGGGGCTCCACAAGCACCCTGAGCCTGGGAGAACACATAAATTTTTTAAGACTTGTAGGACATCATCAAGGTGGGAGAAAAATGGATCATAGAGTGAATATCATTCCAGAGGACAGCTGCCACAACAGAGAGGGCATGCTTTCTGGGTCTCAAAGATGGCATTCTTTGAGTTAGTACTGCTGGTTCTCCAGATTTGAATTCTCTCTCCAGACTTCAAGGAATCAAATCATAGTGTGAATTTTATAGCTAATATGCCTTTAGATATGCATTCTCATGAACACAGAGGCTTTATGTAATACACCATCTACTATTTTACACGCTACAGCCAATGGGATATCTTTCCAACTATTAATGTTACAAAATGGGATAGTTTGTGTTGTAATTCCCTAGCCAAAAGGAGAAATGCTATCTTGAGTTTTAAACCAGAGTAGAGAAAATAAATGCAGTGTAATTCACATGGCGTGAAAATGTAATCAATGGATTACAAAGGACCAATGTTTAGCTTACACCCCAAAAGCTTCTGGGTTTACCTGGGAAATGCTAGAGGGCATTTATTTATAGCTTGATAATTTATTTATTAATCTGAGACATTGTGCTATAAATGACATAGCCAACATCTTTGCTGCTAAAAATACATAGCAAAATGTAACCAATCCCTAACTGGAACTCCAATCACTCACTCAGCACAAAGCCTACCTATTGCATGATAGAGGAGAAAGTGGTTAGTTTTATGTAGCTTGGAAGTGAGCAATCAGGCTTCTGAAGCCATATTGATGTATCTGAACCATGGTCTTCATCCAGAGGTTGCTGAGTTCACTTCCCTGTTTGCTTTAGGGGCTTGTTACATATCTTATAACTATAAGGTAGGGATGGGCAATCTGCACTCTAGAGACACAAGAATGCCTGTGAAATGCCTCCAGGCTGCAAAAAATGAGTGACCAGATTTTGGTCATGTGGTTTGTAACACACGTATAAGAGTGGATATGGGTATACTGAAACTCTGTAAGGCAGAATACACTTATTTCCACCCTTAACCTACCACAGACATGATATATTAGGGCTATGCAGCACTCCAGATGCAGAGGCAAGAAAGTGCCCTGGAGCGCATGGGGGCTCAGACGTAGCACTTGCCTGCAACTCTTAACCCAGACAAGTCTTTCTCAGAGATGGTGCTACACCTCCAGACAGCAGCCATGCAACCCTGAGAAAAGATTCAGCTGCATGAGGAGTTACGGACAGGAGCTCTGTGGGTACCTCAGTGTGCTCCAAAGCACCTTTTTGCTTTTTAAGTCTGAAGTGCTGCACAGCATAGCTAGCAGATGTACAGCCACATTAGGAAAACACCAAGGCCCAGTGATTTGTGTAGAACCTACCTACAGACTCTGCCATCCTTTTTAAAGACCGGAACTGCCATGACGATGTTTTTTTCATCCATCGAGGGAAACAACGAATGTTAGATGAAAACACACCAGCCTCTCTCCTTACCCCTCTGTCATTTCACAGGGCAGTTGGGGAAAGGGATGGATTCACTCACTACTAAGCTTGGGATCTGGTAAGTAGAGGATAAAGCACACAGTGAGAACTGGGTGAATGAGGGCTCTTCCTCACTGTTGGGTTAAACTGCATCAGCACCAGTCCCTGACCCAGCAGAAAACTATATTGGCCTAAAATTTGCTGCCCCCATGGAGACCCCTGCCCTGCCCCAGGCAGGATGCTAGCAAGCACTGCTCTCCTAATTTACAGCACATTAAGGACTGCAATGTGTAAATTCCCCCATCTTTGTTTCCCTCCCTCCCACCAGCCAGTGGAAAATCATCTCACTGGTCACTTTCTGTAACATGGGATGGGGATGGAGACAGAGGTGGGATTTTACAAATGGCTAGACTAGCTGGCTTAGCCATCTGTCAAAATTGTTATGGTTTGGCACAAGTGTTTGTATACACAGCAAGTACATGGATTTGTACTACAGCAAGTACATTCAAAGGGACCCCGACTTTCAGAAAATCACTAAACCTGTTTACAGAAGCTGACTGACCATCAGCTAACATCAGCTGATACTCAAGCACCTTTGGACATTCCAGAACAGTGTAAATCTGTGTTCAAAAGAAGCTGTAATCAGATGATAGATGGGTACCTTTTGTACACAGGTTGAGTGCTACACTATGAAGTGGCTCTCTCCTTCCCATATCTCCCACCTCCACTGGTGATCAGCCACTATCCAGGTTTCTGAGCCAGGGATCAGATACAGAGGGAGAATCCAGTCTGACAGAATCAGACTCTCTGCTGTCCAGACAGTGCCCAGGGACCCAAGGGAGAAGAAGTGCCTGCAACTGATCTGGCCAATAATAGTTGGGTTGATCCCAACCCCTAGGAGTTACCTGACTACATCAACACAGAATGGTTGGTGAAGATGGCCATACTCTATCCACAACAAAACAATATGTTGAGATAAGAGGAAAAACACCAAAACTAGAACAGGTAAGGATGACTTAGTCCAGCATTCAAGGATCCTGTTTTTATCTTTTTCCTTCTCTGAAGATGCTTTAAAAGCAGGCTGGGGGGGGGGCAGAAATGAATTATATCTGACAGGAGCAAGGGAAAGAATAAAGTAAAGCCAGGCCCTATTAACCAATAGGTGACTCTTGCAGTAACCCGTAACGCACAGAGGTCTGCCTCAGCCATTCAAACCTATTACTTTTCCAGAGGAGCGCAGTTTATTCCCACTGCAATTAAGTTGTTTGCAGCTAAAGCCCGAGCACAACTGTTATATGGGGCCCAATTAGGACCATACAATAACATGATTACCTTGGAAAGAGTTCAAACAAAATTTCTAAGAAATATCTTCCAGGTACCCA